CTATATTAATTTGGAGAAGAAAAAAGGCAAATAGGTGCCATTAAAGCATGGAAACTAAATAACTAAACTAAATTTAAAATCCTGAAATCACACAAGAAGGAAGAAACAATATATGTCTGCACGCCATACTTTTCTTCCTTCTCTCTTTTAGACTTGTCCTCAAGCTGACCATTAAATTCAACTTTAAAAACAATCGTTTTTTACTCTAGTGACATGGTCAAGAAGAAGGTTAAATTTACCTTATTCCTATAAACACTTACATACCATATGAACGACTTATTAACATTATGTGCTATTTAATTGACATCTAAATCAAAAACATTGAAAAATGTAGCTTACAATACTACCCTCTTCTTGGATTGCGAGGTTCCTTTAACAACTCTAGTACAGAAAATAAAACACTACACTAAACTGCGCATTCACAAAGTCTTTTTGGTGGTTTCTCTTCCAAAGATTTTGGAATCCGACAGGATGGCCTCTTGTCCCCTTTTGTCACTGGCTGTAACATTGATGTGGAATTATTCCTTTGTAGGGGTCGAGTTTCAGGTTAAATTTTTTGTTGACAAATTCTTCTCTGGAGTTACCCAGTTGGCCATTTTCACTGACATACTTCCAAAAATGATCACAGTGGACGAGTTTGGTTTAGATTTCCTATCCTTCTAGATTCTGTGAATCACATCATTGATTCTTTTGAGTATAATATGTGGTCCTCCCCAACACTTACCTAACTTTGGAGTTTTTATTCCTTGAAATGTAAATTGTTCAGCCATACCAAGTCACCTTGATGACATCTGGCCTTATCAGCATTAACATCATAGTGATTTTTCATTTTATCACAAGCTGATTTAAGCCTTTCCTGGTTAAAGTCATGTATGGCATCTTTATTCTTCAGATACACAGGAGCTCTTCCAACCTTTGATCCTTCAGGATATCCTGCACTGTTTGGTTCGGCTATTATCCTAACATAAAATGTAGATATATTGATAATAATTCTTGGTATGAGTATTTCATGTTTTGGTGATACAATGACCACTCTCCCTGTTGTCACTGGAAGTTCAAGCTCTGATGTAATAATTGCCATGGAGTCTATAGGGGTTTCCTGGTCATATACTCTAAAGCTGTTTGAAACTAGTTTAACCTTGCATCCATTTCTCCTCATGAAGTCAGTTTCCTATGTGCACTGTTCCTCAATGTCAATTACCTATACATCATGAGGTATACAGAAGCTTCCTACAGTAAGGTTAACTTTCCTTTTACTGGAACTTTATACCCACCTGCTGTTTGCATCAATCCTTCGTCTTTCTTCATCTTTGGGGACAATTTCTCATCTTTTATTAACAAATCAGGTTGACATTTTAGCTGTAGAACCAGTGTTGATCTACATACTGCAAGGTTTCTATCAATAAGTACATAGAGTCGTGGACTATTTTACTCAAGTAATGAAGTTCTTATATCATTTGTGGTAGATTTTCAATTGAACTACACCTCCTAAGTCCGTTTAATTCCTATTTCCTTGATGTCTAGTTAGTTCTTGTTGTTCCTTTGATCTGGTTGGACTTGAAGATTAATACTTAGGGTTTTCTATCCTTGGTGTATTAACAACTGATGCTTCCTCACCGTCTTGGTTCTAATGACCAGCCTTTTTACATGTGTAACAGTTTCTTTTGGGAGGAGTTATTATTCCCTACAAGCTTTTGTTTGCATTTCTTGGTAATATGTTCTGTCAACTTACGCTTGAAACACCTATTGTCTTGTGGTTTACTTCTTCCATTCTGCATAACTAGTTGTCTAACTATTCCTTTTATTTCTTCCATACTATTGTCAGTGTAAGTTGATGTTTCAATATCACTGGGTCTGTCGAGCCTGTAACTTCTAGATGGTGTCTTTAGTTGTTTATCTGCGATTTTAATGGATTCTAGTTCTATTTCTTACTGAAGAGCTTCCTTTAAAGATGTATACCTACTTTGCTTCAGTTTAATTATCATATCCTCACATGTTATGGCATCTATAAATAGGTCACATGCTAACAAATCTGTCATTTTACGAGTAGCATCTAGGTAAGATAATTGGGTAAGCCTTTTCCAATCTTCTAAAAGTTTAGCTAAGGCCCATTTTTTCCCTTCTATACCATGTTCCAAGACTTAGTTCTTGGTGCTAATTCCTTTTGGTGGGTTACTCCAAACTTATTGTATAAGACAGCGCCAATGTTTGATAGAGGTTACAGTGCTCAGCTGGAAGGTTACTACATTTCATTAGAGCTGGTCGTTTTAATTGGGCAACCAGAGGAAAAACTTGTTAATCACGGTTCCATATGTTTACTTTGAAAATATTTCAAACTGAGCCTGAAATGCCTCACATGGTACCCTTCCAATTAGACGATACTGATTTAACCTGTTAAATTCTGGAACTGGATTTGATAGTGTCGTGGCTGGTGTAGTCCAGGAAGGTCCTTCATTGACAGGTGGCACACCAGTAGTGGTGATAGATGTAGATCAAATAAGTCCTATTTCGTATTTCGTAGCATACAACATTCCAGGCTGGAACTTTTGAGCAGATGCAGAAAGAGGTTTATCTGGTTTAATTTTAGCATTTAATAATTCATTTTACAGATGTTTCATTCTGTAATTGATGTTTTTTCTACCTTATTGATCTTGCTCTAATACTTTTTCAATTCTTCATAGATGGCGTTTTTTAGTTTTTACTTTTGCCATTACATCCTTCCTGCAATTCTTTAATGTCATTCTGCATTTCTTCAAACTTGTTGCTGTAATCTCTCTGTACATCCCTAGTAACTTTATAAATATTGTCTTCAATCTGATTTATTTTTACTCTTAACTGTTTATAAATATTGCGTCTAATTTTTCATATTTTCTGTCTCTTACTTCTTGGTCTTCTTTTAATTTTAAATATCATTCTTTTTGGTCTTTTTAATATAATATATATTGTTTCTGATGTTCTTTTATTAATAGTATTGTTAGGTATCTGCTTGTTTGTTAATTCCCTTAATCTCTGGTATAAATTTTTTCAGAGGAACTTCAGCGATATAAGTCCTTTCTTGATTAAACCAGTTCATTTTCCCCTCGATACAACTTTGTAATACGCAGAATTTCCAATCAGTACATTAAACTTAACTACTTTTATAACACACGCTATAAATCAGAGTGATCCACACACTTTACTTACG